TTTTATTTATTTGAGAGAGAGAGAGCACGAGAGGGAAGAGGGTCAGAGGGAGAAGCAGACTCCCCGCTGAGCAGGGAGCCCGATGTGGGACTTGATCCCGGGACCCAGGATCATGACCTGAGCCGAAGGCAGTCGCTTAACCAACTGAGCCACCCAGGAGCCCAGTCATTACTTCTTAACTGGATTATTAGAATGACTTTCTACAGGTTCCCCATTCCTAATCTGTGTTCTTCACTGAGCTTCTGGATCGGTCACTACTACTCTCAGAAAACTTGCAGTGGCTCTTAGTTTCATACAGAATCAAGTTCAACTGCTTGGCATAAAAAGTGTTCAGTGATATTTCCCCAACCTATGTTTATATCTTATCTTGGTAATCTTCATATGTCCTGTGCTATAGCTAAACAGAATTATCTTATGTTCCCCAAACATATCCTCAGATTTTCCACATATCTCTGAAAGCGGTAAGCCTTTGCTTATGTGGTTCTTGAGTGCAGAGCATACTTTTTTTGACTTGTGTTTCCAGTAATTGTTCATTTGCATTAATTCTTCACTCTTTTCCTGTTCTGCTGTGATCAACAATATGTTCTTTAAAAAGTTATATAGAATTTGGGATTGTTATGACCACTGAATAGAGGTAGCCATGGTGGCTTGTGATTTCTCATTAGTCTTTAAGGACTAGTATAGCCACCCACCTTAGCCCCCAACCCCAACCTCCAGAGTAGGTTATATTAGTCCAGAGCTATAACTGTAGGGTTGTAAGTCAATGGTTGGCTACTGGTACTAGTGTATCTTTCTGAGAAATTTGAGAATGGTTAGACAACTAAAGAAAGTAGGATTGCACAATAGCTAGAACAGGTGTGTTTATATTTACTCTTCCTAGTCACCTTGACCTTTTCTCTTCGTTCTTATTCCTGATCTTTGCAAGGCTGACTATTTCTGCTCATTTAAGTCCCTCTTAAAAGTCATCTAAAGGAAGCCTTCTGTAACCATTTGACTTAAAACAACCACCCTGTGACTCTATTCCACTAACCTATTTAATTTTCTTCATGTCACTTAATCACTTTTAGAAGTTATCTTGCTTTTTGCCTACTTGTTTATTGTTTACCTAATAGAATTTAAGCACCAAGAGGGCAGAAACATTGTCATAGTCAATACAGTATCCATGGCAACTAGAAGCAAAGTTAGAATTCTCAGAAACAGAGCTCACCGTTTACCTAGAAGGTATACTAACCTTTCAAGGATAATGCTTAAACTAAGATAGGCTGAATGGTAATTCAGTGGGGCAGTTTCAATATTGAAAATACTTTCTCAGAGAGTGCTTTTTTATGGTATAATATGACTGTAATAATATAAAAATATCATGTGAGTCAGCAAAGGATGTCTATTTGTGTGATGCACGGCTCTGTCCTCACTGTGTTATTGATAACTTCGATAATCATTGATGGCAAATCTAACAGTTTTTAGATGGCATAAAATCAAGATGAATAGCTTCATTGGGTTATTTTAAGATCAGGAGTTTAAGAGATTTCAATAGAAGTCACTGAAACAAATTTAACAGCAACAACAAAAACGGTGGACAAGGTTATTCGAAGTCTTACCCTTGTATCTAGAAAATAGTTTTACAGAATCAGGGAAAGAGAGCTTAGAATTTTACTTGGCCTGGGTGCCTGGGTGGCTCAGTTGGTTAAACGTTTGACTCTTGATCTCAGCTCAGGTCTTGAATTCAGGGTTGTGAGTTCAAGCCCCGTGTGGAGCCTACTTAAGAAAAAAAATTATACTTGGCCTTAAGTTCATTAAGAGTTAACAGTATAATAGAGCTGTCAAGACAAAAAGTAAATATAAACCTAAGCTATGATAAATGAATTACAGTGTGCAGAACAAGAGAGGTGATAGTCCCACACTATTTAGACTGGTCAGATCACATTTAGAATACTAGGTTCAATGCTGGACCCCAGATTTTAAGAGGATCATTCAGAAAAGGGTACCATTCCAAAGAAAAATGTCCAGGATGATAAGTGAACTTGAAATTATCTTACTTGAATACATAAGAGGGATAGAGATTTCCAGCCTGAAGAAAACTTCAGGAAAACGTGAAAGCCATCTTCAAATATGTAAAAGACCTTAAGAGAGAAAAATAATGGGATACATCAGTATACTAAAATCAGTTGATGGGAATTATAAAGTAGATTCTGGCTTAACTCAAAGAAGATATTTAAAGAATAATTTTAAGTAGATACATCTAAAAATGGAACACATTTCCTCATGAAGTAGCTCTCCAACTGGGACGCCTTCAAACAAAACCTGGATGAGCACAATGGGGGATATTGCAAAAGGAATTGAAGTATTGGATAGGAAAGTAGTCCTCAAATGGGAGACGTATAAGTAAATGAAGATGTTCTAAATGGTAGACAGTTACAGTTTTAAGGAAGTCAATTTCCACATTCTCAACTGCTGGAAGTACTTATTACTAAAATGCAAAAGCCTTTGTGGTCAAGCAGATTCTCCTTTCCTACCTTTCCTTTCACAATTGCTCTTCACTAGCTTTACAATAGAAATTTCAAGATTTACCACCACCGTGAAACATTAGAGTATTCTGAATTTAACTATATATTTACCTTACCAGTTTTATAGTTTCACATAATTTCCTGTTACTTATTATCATCCTTTCATTTCAGCTTAAAGAAGTCCCTTTAATGTTCATTATAAGGTTCATCTAGTACTGGTGATAAACTCCTTCAGCTTTTACTTGTCTGAAAAACTATCTTC